ACTAATTTTAAAAACAAAACCAAAAGAAAATGTTCACTTATTTTTCATGTGTGGAAAGAATCACACTGGAGATCCTCTCAAGCAAGTTACCAGTGTTGTGTGTAATAGTGAAAGCCCGCCTGATGGGAAGGTGGGAAGAGCCAGTTTCCATGGGGAATGGCTTGAAAGATGACCACCGACTCCGCGGGGGCTCCTTCGGGGGGTTCGGGAGAATGATTTTGCAAGGAATGCACCCACGCGCACATTAATTATTCATTCAGAACTGAGGCTCTGAGCAAAAGAAAGCTAAAGATAATATAATGAAGATGAATTAGTTATTCTAATTTACAGGTTGGGGAATCGTTTCTTTATTCAGTGACTTCTTGACTACACAATATTGGGTTTAATGACCAGTGGACAGGGGGGTGGTTTTAAGTTAAGTAGAATGAATTACCATATGTTAGGTAGAGCATTGAGGTTTTTACAAGATTATTAGATAGAAGACGTATGTTACTGTGGGGTGCTACTGAATTTCTTCAGGTAATTTCTTCAGGCAATATCAGTGAAATGCTCTCCTCTCTTCAAATGGGTTTCTTGGGTCATAGTCTTGCTTATTTGTAGTAATCAGTTAGCTGTCTAATCATGGAAGTTATATTTATATAAAAATTACTTTCACAGTAACTTATATTAAATGATCATTTATTCACTTCATGCCTTTTGAATCAGTTTAAATGTTTTGTTATTTACACTGTTCTTTTACATATCATTTCAATCAAGCTTCCCCAAAAAGCCTGTGGGCTTCTCAGGTAACACAGTGTCCACATTCTGCTAAGGAGAACACAGAGTGATAGAATGGTTAAATGACATGTGAAATAAAAAAGTCAGATGACTGTCTAGGATGATGCTGTCAAAGAGATACATAATGCGATCCAAAGGGTGATTCACATGTGCCACATGGGTGAGCATCGACTCTTGGTGACTCCATGGACGCGTGATGTCCACCGTGTCCTGAACTCACAGCCCTGCTCCGCTCGAGGAGACTCAGCCTGCAGCTTCTTTCACGGGGACCATCCGTCTCCTGTCTGGTCTCCTCTTTGCCCACATCCTTCTCTTTCCCAAAGAACCTGCCTTCTCATGACTTTCTCAAAACAGGACAGCTTCTGTTTTGTCTTCTTCTTCTTCTTCTTTTTTTGCCTCCAGAACTGTTTTTGGGCTTCCTTTGATCTAGGGCCAGCTGGCTCATCTTTCTGGTGGTCAGGATACCTGCAGCGCGCTCTTCCAACTCCATGTTCCAAAGGAATCAAATTCCTTATGAGTCTTCCTCACTATTCAACTTTCATATCCTTAAGGAACAGGTGACATTAATTTTAATAGCATATTCCCTACTATGTCCATCACTTTGTTATTTAAATATGTAGCCACCACGAAACTACTAGTAGTATATCTTACATTCTTTTTTTCATACTAACTCTTCAAAATCTTCTGTGTACTTTTCACGTAAAATGCATATCAATTCAGATTGGTCATATTTCACGCACTCAGTACCTACTTGTGACAAAGTGGCTAGCTTATCAGACAGCATGTCCAGTGTTTGAGATTCTTGAACAATTTCTCTCTCACAGTTTCTCCCTATAGCCGTGCAATCCTCTGAATTCCCTCTCGATTCTTTCTTTCAGTCTCCACATCCAAAACTTTAATTCCTGCATCTCATCTTCACCCAGGTAACCGCAGAACCACCCCCCATGGTGTATTTGCCCAACTTGGACTTTAAATCTGTAGTTTCTGTTACGTTGAAAGTATGATTTTAGGTCCAATGTGTGAATGTGCTCATGTTTTTCTATTAAAATGCAGAAAACGAGATTGTTAGAAAAAGGTCAGAGAGGTATTATTCCTTAATAATTGCTGTTCATATCATATATTGTAAAACTCTTTCTGATGCGGCTAACGATTTACATTCTAAAGTGAATATGTTGCTATAGGGTATATTTTTAGGTGAGAAAGGAAGTCTAACTCAGTCTTACTGGAGAAGAAATACATTTCTACATAGAGCATCAAAATTAGATTCTTTTTTTTGTTGTTGTTAAAAATAAAAAGCATTTTATTACCTAAGGGAAAAAACATGTTTAAAAAAATACTATTAAGTTTCAGCTATGATCAAAGTTAAATAAATGTGTCTCTTCAGGCGTTAAACTGTATCTCCAAACTGCATAAAAATGAGAGCAACCTTAGGGATTTTTTTCAACGAGAAAGACCCCAGTAATAGGATAAAAATGGAAATGGATTTTATAGTACTTCCCAAGGCTTGTATTTGATAAGACTTTATAAAGAATTTTGAAAGATGAAATACACCGGCGACATCAAAGCCCATGCACGCACCAAAAAGGATTTTCTGCTATGAAGCGTGTAAATTGGATCGACGTAGCAAATGAAAATCTCATTTCCTAGATTCCTCAGATTGTGCCTACAGAAGAAATAATTAATTCGATTTGATTAATATGATTGAATATTTTCAACCTTTTGTTTAAACAAGGTAAAGCAATTATTTTGTCATTTTCAAAGCTCCCCCAAATAGTCAGCCCTTTCTCACAGAATGTGTTGGAATTATATAAGCATGTCACTGGGTATTAGAGACTGCAGGTGTTCATACTGCCTAGTGACAAGGTCCTTCACTCAGGACACCCTGTTAAGTTCTAGGGTTACCTTCAACACACACACGCAAAACTAAGCTAAAAGATGCTGGGACAGGGTGTGAGAGGAAGGAGTTTATGAGAAGTCCTCCAGTTCTCAGCTCCGTGGGGGTAAAGGACGAGTGAATGAGTAATTAAGGCTGTGGCACAGACTTCAGGAAAGACTACCCAGTGCACAGGGGGCTCTGCAGCTGCCTCCTTCCAGACCGAGGGCAAGGGTTCGACCACCAGGCGGGTGAGTCCTTCTCTCCTGAAAGGGGCAGAGTGCTCTGGGCAACACAGTACTCGAACCAGCCTCTTGAATACAATAGGTAATGTAATAACAATACAGTACCACGTAATGTAACGTAACAGTACAGACCAAGTCCGTAGCACTACCCCGGTACCAAGAGGTCCTCACAGGAAGGCTCTCCCCTTCTCATCATCATTCCCTGTGTGTTCAACTGCAAGTTTCTGACGTGCTTGGATGGGTGTGATCAATCCTTGTAGGAACCCTGCAGTGCGATGATGTATTTTTATATTTCATAAGGGTAAAATGTCACAGTGTTCGATGTCTGTAGTTTCCACTCTCATGTTCTTAAGAAACATGAGCACAAGTTAACCACGAAGGTTAACAGATGTCTACCATACAACGTATTACTAGGATGTTTTCTTCAAGCATAATGTAATGTTGCGTTTTTTGAAGCAGGCATGAAAATAAGTGTCTGTAGTCTATAGTGAATAGGGACATAATTATCCACCGGATTTGCAGAAGATTGCAGATGAAGCAATGACTCCAGAAACATAGAAAAGAGTTTAAAACCCAATCAGGGTCATTTCACAAATAAAGACACTGGTTCTTTTACTGGAATCTCATATCAAAACCTAATTCAGGTTAGAAAGGAAGGAGGAAGGGAGGGAGAGTGGGAGGAAGGAAGGAAGGAAGCAAGGGGAAAAAGAGAACAAACAATGAAAAGGCTACAGAATCTTAGAAAAGGAAAAGTCTCCTGGCTGGTGCGGTTCAGTGGATTGAGTGTGGGTCTGTGAACCAAAGTGTTGCTGGTTCGATTCTCAGGGCACATGCCTGGGTTGCAGGCCAGGTCCCCATTTGGGGGCATATGATGGGTGACCACACATTGATGTTCCTCTCCCTCTCTTTCTCCTCCTCTTCCCTTCTCTCTAAAAAATAAAGAAAGAAAATCTTTAAAAAAAAAAGGAAAAGTCATTTAGTAGTAAGTGCACAGTAATGCTAGCAGGTGCAAACACAGCAAGTAAAATACTCAGAAAAGTCTGCAATAAACAACACACAGAAGGGGCTCCATCATCCTCAGACAGTGCAAAGAGGCGGGGTGTTGGCAGTGTGTAACATAGGCTGGACCTTCCAGCAGGGTCTTGGACGAACAGCCCTCCCGACCCCGTGATGCCTGGCGAGGGTGCCCCTGTCACCTCTACAGGATGCGGGTCACCTGCTGCCGCTGAGGGGCCGAGACTGGGGCCTCCGGGGCGGGCTGACCTGGTCTGTCCACCACATCAGTTTCTCTAGAGTTAAAACACTACAATAGGCGGTTTCTGCAGTGTAAAAATAATTCTTTAGGAAAGGATTATTAAACGAGGCTATCAATAACATCTAGTGTATTTTTTGAGCTCTAGTCATCCATGATTCTTTTAAAGTTGAAAATATTGAAAGCAACTTTCATACAACCTGACGGGGAGGCTTGTTTCCATGTCGTCAGTCTGTCATTTCTGAATGAGAAAGGGGTGGGTGTCACGAAGACAGAAACACTCCAGAACCTCCTGTGAAATAAATAAATGTATGAAAATAGCCCCCAAGTACATAAAAGCACATATGTTATTTTTGATGCATGAAATCGGAGGAAGAAAATGCCAGTAGATGCAGAAATCATGTTTGAAAGACAAATATTGCCTAAGATTTCACAAGGATTAGAAAGAACAACAAAAAGGAAGACAAGTGCAGACAGGAAAGGGGAGGGCTGTCTGACAGGACATGCACAGAAGCTGCGAGTTTTTCGTCATCATCGCATACCTTCACCAGCTAGAATACACATCGCAGCTCGCAAATCCGCAGCCCTCGGAACGCAGAACGGAGGCTGGGCCTCCGAGAAGGCACCCAGCAAACTCTCTGAGTTTTGGGACTGGAGAATGAGTGTTTATTGTTGACTAAGGCTCTGCTTGACTCTGCCAAGGTGAGATCATTTTTAAAAAGGCATTTAACATCAACACTGGCAATCATGAAACTTGATTATTTCTAATTATCTGTAGCTTTGAGGATAGTGGAACATGCAAGAGAACCTTCAATGTATAAGCAGATACCAATTCTATTAAAACATGTACTGAGCGCTCACTTCCCCAGCACAGACACTAAAATTGGAATGATACGGAGATTAGCATGGCCCCTACACAAGAAGGATGACACATGAAACATGTATTGAGAGCACTTACATATTACATTCTTTTAGATGTTACTTTACAATCTATTCTATTTCCTTTTCTGGTAATTAATTCCTGGGAAGAACTGCAGCCTGAGGTTGTCCCTCCAAAAAAGAAAAACTTACGAATCCACATCCCCTGCCCCTGCGTCCTCAGGGCCCGTTCTGTGATATTCTGTGACAGTAAAGATCACGTCTCACTGCCGTGGTCGGATTAGAGGAGAAGTGGATACAATTCGCTCAGCCACATAATTAATGGAAGCTCCTTTCTGAAGTAGAGATGATACTCCTCTTCCTCCAATCTCATGGTATTAATTTGTTCAGTTGCTGTGACTGACTGTCAGCCACTGCATGTCTGCCTCGCTGTGTCCCGATGGTGGGACAGACAGGACTGGAGGCAGACAAGGGTGGAAGGGGTGGGATGGGGGGAGAAGGCAGACAGGCATGGGAGGAGTGAGAACGAAATGAGAGGGAACTCTACCTCCACCTGGCAACCTTCCCGAACAGGAGACCCTTCCCCTGTAGGGTTGCCAACAACTAATCTTGATTTTTATTTTAGATGCTGCTTATTACCAGCATCCGGGTAACCTGGTAATCCCAACACTTCGAGAAATATTCTGTAAAATACTATGTCTTGAATTAGCAAGTAAAACCAAACGCTATGAAGGAGTAGTTTCTTATCATGTAATTTGAGTAATATTAAAGATGGGATCTGATGGTATATTCAATACCATTAAATCTACCAGAACTAGCCTAAATATTGTTCATTTTAGTCTCATTCTATGCCCGTAGGACTATAAAGGTGACCCTACCACACATACACACTCACACACACACACATATACACACACACATATATATACATATATATACTCCATGAATTGTTTTAATGCCCTAATTATGATCATTACAACAACTCAAACTCAGTAAATTAACATTGGGGAATAAGGAAGAATATGGGAACCCTCAAGTCATAACAGTGTACCTTATTTTTTAAACATTTTATTAGTATATCATTTACGTACCATAGTATTCACCCATTTAGCTAAGCAATGGCTTTTAGTATATTTACAGAGGTGTACAACCATCATCTAATCTTAGAACACTTTCTTTACCATACAAAGAAGTCTCATACCCATCAGCTGTCATTTGCATTCCCACTGGACGCGAACCCCCGACAAATAAGCATCTACTTCCTGTCTGCATGTCTGTTTATTCTGGACGTTTCTCATAAATGAAATCATGTAATAATCTTCTGTTTCTTGGTTCTTTCAATTGGCACAAAGTTCTTTGGTGGTTTAAATCATGTTGCACAATGTATCCACAATACATTTCTTATTATTACTAAATAATGTCCCCTGCATTTTATTTACCTACATAGATTATTTCTACATTTGGCGAGCATGCACGATGCTGCGTGGTGGTGTGCCTTGAAGAAGGGATCCATAGTGTGCAGACAGACTTCCCATGCACTGCCCTGCCTCGGGCAGAACCCGTCCCCCACATAAATCTGTTGCAAACACACAAGTTGTGGTTTTATTAAGATATGGTTTGACTTCCACTCGATAGGATCCATCTGGTTCCACTTCTCATAAAGTGTGTGGGACCTAATGCCATTCTTCAAAGACTTTCTTATTTTTGTCCAAGTATTTTGTGATATAGTAGGTGTCTGAGAGTTTTTTCTTTAGCCTAGCATCTAATATTTTTCTGAATTCTGGATTTGTTAATAGTGTCAAGCTACGATTTTCCAAACCTTAAGAGCAATAATCTCACACAGATAGGAAACTAGCATGTGTCAGAGTTGTACTTGAACCATGAATAAGGGTGCTGTAAACTGTATAGCAAAAGCGGCCTCAGGGGCATTTCGGAAACTCGGAGTTTATAGGCATCAAATGAGAGAATGTGAGAGTGAGGTTCTGTCAGTCACCAAACTGGGGAAAGACAATAGAAGCACAATCTTTGGGACTGTTTTTTCTTCTCAGCAAAAATATTTAGATGAAGATATAACTATGTAATAACTTCTCTCTAAATATCCTGTAAATACAGAATCAAACCCAAGTAAATTTTCCTAGAAGGTAAAATAATTCATAAAAATCCCCTTGTATGATACTGAAAAATATCCTGACACTCTCACCTTATCTTTTATTTTTTACTTTTGCATAATTTTTCTTAATTAACGCTGTAGGAAATAAAGAGATGTAACTAATATTCAAAACTTTGTTACTATTGATTTTTTTCATTGTTATGTTGTATTCTCATGTGTTTTGGTAGCCATTGAAACAGTAATACCACATTGCCTTGAAGAAAGCTATTTTATTTTATTTGCTAAGTTTGCACGACTTTTTCTATATTCTAACTGTGTCTTCTTGAAAGTTTTCATGCTACCATTCACATTTAATTACTATTAAAAAAGGTTATCTCGCCCTGGCTGGTGTGGCTCAGTGGATTGAGTGCTGGCCTGCGAATCAAAGCGTTGCCAGTTCAATTCCTAGTCCGGGAACATGCCTGGGTTGTGGGCCAGGTCCCTGGTAGACGGTGTCTGGAGAAGCAACCACGCATCGATGTTTCTTTTCCTCTCTTTCTCCCTCCTCTCCCTTCTCTAAAATAATAAATAAAAATCCTTTAAAAAAAGAGTTATTTAATTTATAGCTAAGCAACACATCTTAGCATAAAAAAAGAAAACTATGAGACTATTATAAATACATTAGAAACCTCAACATCTATACTTTTCATTGATCACTCCATTGTCCAGAGAATTATTAAGGGTCTATCCTATCATTTTTAATAAGCAAAAGAATGAATAAATTAATAATAATGTGTAAAGAGTAAAACCCATTACTTATTAAACCAATGTGCTATGGTGTGGTTACTTTTGTATTCTTGTCCTAAAAGATGATGTGGAGGAGAATTCTGAAGTGTAAGCCTGAAGAATTATTGACTTGGGAAGTTTATAAGTCACATGAAGTCACATGGCTGTGAGCAACAGGCCCTTGTTCAGGGACACGCTGGCGCACGCAAACCGCGCTCTAAAACCAATAGAAAATCCAAACACTGACCCGAAGCCCTGTCCGCAGGCCCTTGAAGGCACACCAGCCCCAGCGGCAATGCCGAGCCCCACTGACTCAGCTGGGCTCCTCCTTTCATATTCTAAGTTGACAAACACCCAAGTACGTTTGGAAGCATGTACACTTGATGTACCCTCTTTCCACCCATTGGCTATTCCGATGAGTCATGGGACCTCATTCATTTGTCTGCAACTTGCTGTAAGTAAAGCCAGAGCAAAGTCCAGACTCCTCCGGGAATTTCCACAAAAGAAAGACTTGGAGCAAAACATGCAACCTCCTCCCCCGGCAGACAGACGAGTAGACACAGCCCAATTAGCCCCCAAGGAAGTACCATGTTATTTCTAGGTGGGCCGCTAGAGTACCCCTAGGAGCAGAGAGGAGGAGCCTGGCCTAGCCTCTCTGCTATTTCGTGAGAAAGTCGTGCATTTCACGTGGAGACACCCTGTGTCAGGGAATTAAATAGAAGTTATAATTTTATTACTTCACTTGCTTCCCCTTTTATGGTGGTTTTGGGGAATTATAGTTTGCTCAGCTCCTTTTCTTTTTTCCAAAAGTAATACATTTATATTAAAAATGAAAAAAGGGGTGTGAAAAGTTCCCTTTGTCTCCCTTTGGCACCGCCACTTTGCGTGACTACTGAGGGCCAGGGGCAGGCACGGCTCCCCCAGGTTCCCGGCCGAGGGACCCTGGTGGGGCTCAGCCACAGGCCACGTGCTCCTGCGGAAGCGAGCTCCGTGAAAACCCGCGTAGTCCCCGTGCAAATCCAGGCCAGTCTCCGCGTTGCGGCTCAGACTTCCTGAACTCTGCTGCTGAGGCCAGGGGTCCAACGCAGGGGACGGCGAAGCCACATAGCACACAGCAACCTTTCCGGAGGCCCCTTCAGCCTTGGCCGGTTGAAGTTCAGCAGTGGACTCCTGGTGACAGGCTCAGGGCCCAGCTGCGGGGAGACAGCCCCAACAGGCCGCAGCCTGAGGAGGCTGGACAGTCTGCAGTTTCACGTAACGAAAGTTGGAAGTGGCATCTTTTATTTCTCGACGTGTTCAGGGGTGGAAACCTGATTAAGGGATTATTAAACACATTTAAATTCTTTGTCCCTCTTGTAGGTAATCTACACAATGCCCCAGAATGAACGGGAAGGGGAAAAAAACAAACCAAACCCAGATCAGCAATCAGCTATAATTTAGAACCAATACTGATGATTCCAAGACCCTGGGAACTCATAGAGGATGGAGTGAGGGAGCATGGGCTGCTTTCTGATAGAGGTTACGCAGGTGGATGGAATTGAGTGTTCGTTCCTTTGTTTTTGATTCCATAAAATACGTTAGGTCAGGACTGGGTGGAGACGGTGGTGGAAACAAGTGGCCAGAAATGAAAGAAGAAAAAAATCAGCTCCTACCAGATCACAGGCGTTTGGCTTCCCTACAAATTTGGGAATTGTTTCTCAGAAGTCAGGAAAATTATAAAAGAGGAGAAAGGACATTACCTAAATTATATTTCACAAGCATAACTGTTTGTTGTGCAAAGAAGAATAAAACAATAGCAACATTTCTGTCAAAGGGGGCACTCCTTCTTAGGAGGAGCATTTAAATTGCTAAGCCCCGGCTGGCTAGCCCTTAGCTCTACTGAAAAGGATTAAAAACACGACAAAGTGGAATGTAGGTGCCATTTGAAGGAAAGATTAGACTATCGAAGGGAAACAACAACTGTAATTTAAAAACTGGTTCTCGAATTTGTCATCCTACACTGAACCAGAGATTAACGCAGTTCCCCAAGTGAACTCTTCTTCCAGGATCAGGGGCTCACAGCCTTCCCGATGGCAAGCGAGCTGCAGAGGCTGGTCAGCGGGGAGCCTGTAGCGGCACCAGGAGGTCAGCCACACCAAATTCACGAAATCATCCGAACTTTGCGTGTTCGCCTCCTTCAAGCTTAGCAACTCATACGGATATAAAG